TTTTGAAACTGACCAATCAGAATTGCCCATTCCCACGATTGGTACACAAACTCTTCACATGCTATGCTGTTGAAATTTGCGATCTCGTAAAAAGAAAATTTACCTTGACTTTTCTGCTCCGTAAACCAGTAAAGTAATCTCTCTTCCAGCCATGGATATTTCAGTGTTAGGGCCTGTCGTTGTGCATTTCGCTGACATCTCAAGCTCTCCATTAAAGAGATTCTCTTGAACTTTCCTCTAGCAACTCACTGATGACTTTTTCTGGTTATCTCGGAATTGTTTTTGACGGCAATGCTGCATTAAAACTCGTTTCTGTTTCGAAACTTTTGCGTTCATTTCAGTTTGTTCGAGAATGGAATTCTCTGAATATGGTCTTGGCTTCTAGCCGAGTATTTTCAATTTACATGTTTTAAGAACCTTCCCGATTAAAACAGACTGAAGTTTAAGGTCTCGGCTTATGGCCGAGATCGGCTCATGGACGATTAAATACGGTACATCATATGATTTTCTCACATTATTATAGGACTAATCAAAATCAAAACAAAATTCTCAAATCTGATTGGTCATCACCAGCCCGATTTAAGCACTAATAGGACAGTGTACATGTCATGTGTGCACGCTGTTATTGAGCACTTCGCTAAGTTAACTGTTGTTGTTTTAATTATGAAAACAGACAACCAACGTCTAATTGCTTTTGTAAATTTTGTTATAGTTTTGATTAACCCTTTGCACCCTAACATCAGTCTGCATATTCTCCATACTGTTCTCTACGCATTTCCTACGGTGCTGACAAGGAGAATTTGTTGAACAATCAAGAGCTTCTTTAGTTAGTTAAGAAATAACTCCTGGCTGAATGGAGATGCATGTGAATGTAAATTTACCAAATGACAGCAACAAATATGTTTAACGAAGTTTGACCCTTGTTCATTCAAACTGTGCTTTAAATAATCTTAATTCAAGCAGAAAATAGCACCAAAACATTACATTTTGCTAAACTGTCAAAAGGGCCTCTATTTAGCACAAAAAGAAAGACCAAATTCCTTCAAAAACCCCACCTACAGGGGGTACAAGAATCTTTAAAATTCCACTGATCGTCAAAAACTGCCACCTGATATTAGACCTGGTTTCAGTAACCAACTCAAGAAGTGTAATATTAAGATAAATCACACCTTTGGATTTCTGAGTCCATCTGTCAGCAATTTCCCAGACTCTTTGGAAGGAGGTGAAGCTTGCTCTCCACTCTGCTTCAAACCCTCATCCAGCAAACAAACATCACTTGCAAAGTGAAGGAACAGAAAAAAATTTAAATTATATCAATAGGCAAACACAAATGAAATAATAACAATAAATTCCACTCCTTTATGAAAGTTAAATGAACATGTATTTTGTGATCAAACATAATTATTATCAATCAATTTACTTTGTTCAATAAGTTAAATTGTTATACAGTAGCTTGGTAAAAGATTATGAAAATTTATGCAAAATTGCAAAAATTGCTGTTTAATAATAACAAAAAATTAATAATCTCGAATTTGTGACAATTTTTACCCTCACAGCTTGGATAACCAAACGAACCAGTGTATGAACTAAGAGAGAAACCAAAGTTTTAGATCGTCATTTCACTTCATCGTTTTATGCGTTCATAAACGGCATTTAGCAAAAGCACTGACAGCAGGATCGCGACTTGGTATGAATAAAACGGAAATCATGATCATATCCAAATATATGTGTTTTTGGGACAAGACAACTACCCAGTTTCGAATTGGGGAAGCTTACTCGTTCTCCGGAGAATCACTAGAAACAGAGCTAATTGTCTTCCAACCCAAGTGTGGTCTTTTCTCAGCTTTATCAAGGCCTAAATAGGAGGGAAAATTGACATTAGTAAACTGCAGCAGGAGGGCATTTGAAAATGTTTTGTTGATTGTTAAGTTTAGCTCTCTTTCCCAACTCACAAATATTTATGAAGAAATTACGATACCTGATATGAGGCATTTACTCATTTTTGTCTCTTGGGCATAACAAATAAACTGAAAAAATCCCGAAATTGGCGAGCAATCAGCTGTACGTGGCCAAAGTAGAAAATGTTCTCCCATCAACCACCCGCCATTTTGAAAATTGCAAAGCGCGCTCTCAACCCTCGCTTTGGTGCCAACGCCTTTAGGCAAAATTCACAGCGGAATTAAAACCATCGTATGCGCAATATCCACACTAAGGCTGCGCAAATTTGCGATGTAAACAGTGCTCAACGTTCTTTCTCGAAGCAGGGTAAATATTTTAATCAAATGCGATGCATTGAATGGAAATTGTACATTTATCCATTTGCACTTAGACATGTAAGATGATATTTCAGGTACGGTCAAGCGAGGGTGTGGTATTGCCTCTGGTGATTTTTGCGCCGAAAACGTACTAAACTGGTGTGACCTTCAGAAGGTTTTCTTCCCCAATTTTTACAGGGACAAGTGTGCGTGTTTGTTTTCGAAACTGTCGTCAGGTTTGCATCCGGTTTTGTAATTCTTAAGTTTCATAGTTTCTTACAATTCAATTTGAAATTAAATCGTTGTTTCTGTACCCGGTTTTAGCCAACTTAGTATGTACACGTCAACATCCGTTGTTACTCTATTTTTGGTTTCGTCCTTTGTTTCCAATGGGTCACAAGCAAAGCCTTTTATTTTCCAGATTTGATAGCCGCTCGTGTGAGAACCGGAAGTTTATGAAATAGCAAAAGGAAAAAAAAAGAAAATGACCCTTTGATTGTTTTGCCAAAAAAATTTTCCGATAGAATAAACTACTTTTATAAATACATGTGTGGAGGCGCGGTGGCCTCATGGTTGGTGCGCTCGACTCCGAATCGAGTGGTCCGGGTTCGAGCCCCGGCCGGGACATTGTGTTGTGTTCTTAGGCAAGACACTTTACTCTCACAGTGCCTCTCTTCACCCAGGTGTATAAAATCTCGACGCAAAATAGATAGGTAATACTATAAAATCACCAAAATCTAGCCAAAACAATCGGGGTGTAGTTGGTGTTTATCTAACAGTAGATCTCAGTTTCTAAAATCTGCTTTGTGTTTATTAATAGCTCTTCACACCCTAACATCAACATCCATATTCTCCAAACTCTTTTCCATAAATTTCCTCTGACATTGACAAGGAGAATTTGTTTAAAAATCCAAAGTTTCTTGGGTTGATTACATTTGTTGTTTTCGCTCAGACGAAGGGCTAATGCATGAAACATCAGTTTTTAACTTTACTGTGGCCAATTTACAATTTCAACAGTTGATATAACCAAATGACCTTGTTACCCCCACCGACGCAGCACCACAGTTTCTTTAGAAACTTTCACCCTTTATTCATTTATCATTTTCTTTATTCTCACAATATTTATTAATGGTTCTGTGGTTTCCTTGTGAGGAGAATTTAGATGCAGATCATTCCTAGTGTTTTTTCAAAGATTGATGTTTGTTCTTTCTGTACACCAGGTCTTCTTAGCTGATCTTCCAATGAGAATTTTAGTGTGATTGTTTCACCCATGGAACCATTTTCTCAGGACAAGGGTGAAGGAACAAAGAAAGTAATTAGAGGCAATGACAGCTCTACTAACCTCAGACTTAGAGCAAGATCATCAAGGAGCTTAAGCTCTCAGAGACACAATAAAAATCATGCGAAAACCTACAATGGATACCACATCACTAATGGCAGTACTTGGCAGACAGGTCCAGTAAGTCTAACTGTAAGAAATGCCAGTGTGGAGAAAATTCCCTTAGGACATTACAGAAGTGGAAACAATTCAAACAATTTGCACCCAAGCATGCACCTTGATCATTCCAGTAATTTTTCATCGAACTCTAGTGTTGCGAAGTTCAATGCAACACTTTTTTCTCCAACCTCTCATCATACAATTCAAGGATCTGATGTGGAGGAAGCCATGGATATTGATCATCAGGACATGAACGATGAAGGTGTTGGCTTTGAAGGAAATAGTGCATCTGTTTTACAAGAGGAAATCGATGCTTCACGACAGTCAGGAGCTCCAGTAGAAAAACAACCTGTTGAACATTATAATGATATAGAAGTTGTTGAATCTTCCTCTTCAGGTGCAAAACCAAAGGTAATTATCATCTATGATAAGATTGTGGGATATTTTGAAAATGTGATTGTACAGTAAGTTTTGATTAGGGTAGTTTAAACTTTGCTTGCAATGTAAGACCACCTAATTTTCTTTGACAAATCATGACACCAGTTTGAAACAGTCATCAATCATTTTATTGTTTTAGGCCAGTTACAGTAAGGTTAATCTGTTGTGGTGGCTCCTTTGTTTGTGTCTAAATTTAGTTATTTCCATCACCAGACTTACATGGGAAGAAAGTGTGCTCTATGCATTATTGATCAAGCTTGTTTGGTCAAGGTGGTTGGATATTGGCTTAGTTCATTTTCTACATGTTTTTGTAGACTGAGATGAAGTTGAGGTCCATTAAAAAGCAAAAAAAAATTAAAAAGCAGCCACAGCAAGGCTAAATCCAGCCATCTTGACTGAACAAACTTGGTCAGTAATGGAGTTATTATATAGCAGAGAGATTTGGATGTAATAAGAATCAAGAATCAATTGTTTATTTTAAGAGCCAGGAAAGAAATTGAACTGTGTTTCTATAGCATGATGGACCCATGAGTTTCGTTCAATGAATTTTCATTCATTTGAGACCTGGGAACAAAAGGGTTAAAATTCTTTTAAATTCCTTAATAGGAAACAAAACAAGAAATGCAGATAACAAAGCCGAAAAAAGAGGCAAATAAACAGAAGCTGCTAACATTGAAGGCTGCTCGTATTACATCATCAAACAGAAAGAGGCCAATTTACATTGTCCTTCATGTTAGCAACATTCAGATTGGAGAGTTTTCAGGAAAAGCATCAGCCCCAGTTAAGGTAAATAAGACAATGAGTCTGTTTGAAGTACTTCATATCTGACTTACAAGTGTTAACTGGTAATACAAAGAAACTTGTTTAAGGGTTAACACCATGTTATATGTTCAATCTAGCACTCACAATTAATATTTTCTATTTGTTTAACACTTTTTAAAATTCTCAGGGAAACATTGTATGGATGCCATGATTTGAAGTAGTACTTAATTTTTTTGGCAGATATATGCAGAAAAAATCTTCATAGAAATGGAGACAAATGAAGGTAACCCTCATCCTCTTTACTTTTTTTCATAAGACCTGTGAACAGCAAAGCGAATGCTTCTCACACAAGTAAAACCTCAATTGAAAGTGATAGATCAAATTTGTTTACTCCTAATTAGGAATTGGTTCCAAAACTGTTTCACATCACTTCAGAATTCCCTGTAAAGATTTGACAGAGTGCAAGGTAAATTACTTAATATGTTACTAATGTTCTAATTTTTCTAGTTCATACCTTTCCTTTTTGGGAAAAGCTTGGACTCACTGCAGCACAGTAGCTGGTTTTAAAATTACACCAGCTAGTGGCTTCAATATTTTTATCATCCAGTATTTTCATCAATAGATACACAATACTAGGGACCTGTTGACATGAAGGTGGGGGACCCCAGGTTGGCGACCCCAGGTTGGCGAGGTAACCGCCTAGGTGGGATAATCCACCCTCCCATGTCATTTCTTGTATTATATTGATTATGTTTACATGATATGTGGGGTGACCCACTTAGGTAGGTTGTACAATCTGCCTGGTAGGGTAATGCGGTCAGCCAGGGTGACAATTTACCATGTAAACATCTCAAGGTTGGGTAACCTGCCTATCAGGGGGTTGTGTACATGGCAAAAAGCTCAAAAGCAAAAGGAGTGTGTTTTTAAATTGTTTACATTTCACAACTGTCCCATACAGAACTAAAACAGAGATCACCAGCAACCGCAACAGGCACTCAAGGAGTGTAAAATGTTCATGTTTTGGAATTTTTAGCATTTTATATTGACCATATTTTATTTCTCATATTTTTCCTTATAATGCATTTGGATTCAAATTGTCAACAGTTCCTCCAGTCTCCTGTAACCTAACACAGTGCAACACAACGTGTGACACTTTCATGAATAAATACACACATGTCTGATAATTAATCTTTTGTCTTTCTTTCAAGCAAAACAGCAACCTCGAGAAAGTTCACCCCATCACCCCCAAGGTTGTAATATTACATGTAAATGCATTTCATTTTTTTGACCACAGTTAGGCAGGTTACTTCACTTACCTGGGGTCTCCCACCTCCATGCAAACAGGCCCTAAGTGCTATTTATGTTGCACATTAGCATAACATGATAGTCTCAGCCATTGTTCATTCTTTGGATAGGCAAGTTTTGTGGGTTCCCCTTTACTTCTTGTTGCCAAGCCAACTCCTGCAGGGGCAGCTGCCATTTGTGTGAAATGTAAGGACTACGGAAAATTTCTGGACCCTGAAAGTCAAGGTACACCGGCTGCAATATTATGTTTTATCTATTTCCAGGGATTACCATTAAAAGTGATTGTGAGTGAATACTTTTTTTTGCAAATAAACACTTTACTCCCTAACACCTGTGTGCATATTCTCCATACTGTTCCCTATACATTTCCTAAGGTTGTGACAGGGAGAATTTGTTTAACAATCAAGAGCTGCTTTAGTTGGTGATCATTTCCTTTTTTCTCATGACTTTAATGTCTGATCCAGGGAGATATGGTAAGGAGAAGTTAGATGCCAATCACTCTTAGGGATTAAAGGGTGTGTCGTTGCTGGATAACAATTGTACTCAGCTGATTAGATTTTTTTTTTTAATACCTTTATTCGCTCACAATACTCAAAACTCAACTCAACTCTCCACTAAACACAAGCACAAGGGCCATAGCAACAAGCCGAGCTGTCAATTCACATAGCAATGCAAAAAAATAATAATAAATAATTAAATGTACAGGAAGCGGGAGGGACAGGGTTAAAGTAATTCTGTGATGATTCATTAGCATGGGGTATGATCATGATTTGTATGATTAAGAAGCTTGACAAGTGCTTAATGTCCATCACTATAATTGTTTTGCATGCAAGAATTTAATCATTTTCTCAAAACTATGGATTGAGGTTCTTGAAAAGTTTTTCTAATGACCTTATCCTTGATCCTCAATCTTTGATCCTCAGGCCTCAATGATCAACCCTTGATTCTCTCTAGAATCAAGTTTCAAGTGAAGAATGTCAACTTACTTTTGAGTGGTACTGTACATCAATTTTTTTTTTTTTTTAAATTGTACCAGATTTGAAAAAGAGCAGCATCGTTCTGGTGATGAATTACAAAGTGATACCAAGGGACACTAAAGCTGATTTAATTGAGTTGGTGGGTTTTCTGTCAACCTTTCTGTGGTTTTCCTGCAAGAAATAATTAGTTTTAACAGTCTACTCAATTATATTCCTAAGTGTGTATCACTGGTGATAAGTTTAATTGTTATCAACATTGTAAACTACACTCAAGGCTTATCATCTCTTTCTTTTAATGTTTTTACTGACTCAGAGCATTCAAGTACTAATAAATTATAAAAACATTTACTGCCACAGTGTTGCTTCTTCATGGGAGTCAAGGCTGTGGTTGAGCAGCACCTGGTGGCTCCTGGCACCTGGCACCTTACTTTTGCTCTTGGATGACTCAGGAATCTTAGTTTTTTCATAAAAAGCATATGCTGGATACTCTGGATTTCACAGTTTTAGAGCACTGGGCTTCCTTCAATTTTTCTTGGAGCACAGCCTTGTGAGAGAGCTCATAGTTTCCCCTAAGCTCTCAATATATATATATATTATCTTATTACACGTTTGTTGTACAGTATCACTGAGTATTTTTACAAGTTGTGCCGTATTTTGACATGCCCACTGGGTGAGTCAAAATACAAACAATGAGTAAAAATGCTCAGCGATACTACACAACAAAACTCTAATAAGAGATTTGGTATCCAACATGCCAAATTGTTATTTCAGTTTAGGTGAATTTTGCAGATATTTCTGGAGTACAAATATTGCCTGATGTTTGTACTCATCTTGCGCATTATTTGTACTCTACAAAGCACAATTGGATAATTATAATAATCAGTAGCAAGGAAACTTATTCAACTTCCAAACTTAAAGGCAAATTTTTTTGTCATTCAAGTTTCAGAACCGTTTTGCTGAACAGCTATCATGGAGTGAGCTGAGGTATATGATGCATCAGCTAAATATCTCATATTGCTTTTAATATCGGTTGTGGTGCATTTCTCTGTAAATGTCATCTTTTTTCTGATTTTGGTCCTTTTTAACTTAACAGCACACAGTCATCTTTGGAGTTGTTTAAAAATAATTCTACCAGAATGGTTGCTCTTAGCAGTATTTTAAACAAATAAAAGAAAGAGGAAGCTGTAGCCTGCAAGTTAGTTATCAGGTACCAGAGATGGGCAAGCTGGGGGGCCTTAACCCATCCTTTTCTACCCTTGAAATGCACCTATGAACATCAACTTGCTTGAAAAATTTTGTTACAACAAGAATGTTAAAATATTGCCTTTGCTGTTATTATCCCAAGTTTAAAGGAAGCACAAGAATTTCTTGGCAAGAAAAAAGATGTTGTTATTCCTTGTGAAAAGTCTCAAAGTCCACCTCCACCAGATGCAGGAAGCCCAAGCACACTAAGCCCAAGCACAGGAAGCCCAAGCACACTAAGCCCAAGCACAGGAAGCCCAAGCACACTAAGCCCAAGCACAGGAAGCCCAGTCAACTTAGAGCAGAGGAAAATATTAACACCTAAAGGTACATGTAGCTTTCTAGGTCACTGCATGGTGCTGCACATGCAGCGGGTTGCAGCCATGACATGTACATTGTAGTAAAGGCCACGTATACATGCAAGACTAAAGTTTACAGATATAACTATGGGTATTGTTATTCTTCCTGAACCATTGTAAATTACCCCCTTTTTGCCCCTTACCCTTTGTCCACGTACCAATGTATATGCTTGGACCGAAACGATCCTAGTATTTTGTTTTTCCAGCAAAAGATAATTTTTTTTTTTTATGTTCATTTATTTATACAGGTAAAATGCATGCTCGGAAAAAGCTGTTCACAGATGAATCAAAGTCTTCTCCAGTAAGGAATTCTTATATCATATTTTGAAAGCTCCCTCTGTGTATTTATGATATAAATGAACATAGTAAGCACCGCCTGATTGATCAATTCAGTTTTTAAGCGGATGCTTTGTCAGATTACAGAGCCCGCATTTGATCTAAATATGTCATAAAAAAGCAATAGAAGGCATTTTTCCGGGTTTTATAACGTGATAGAGCCACTTGGGATGTTTGGAGAACACTCGGAGAGCTTATGAATCACGACCGCCTTCGGCTCGTGATTCATAAGCTTTCCTCGTGTTCTGCCACTGACTTCCCTCGTGGCTTTATCACGTTATAAAGCCCGGGAAAATGTGTTCTGTTGCTTAACTAGATCATCGAGGAAGAGTGGTAACAAGAGGTTCAGGGCCGTAAAATGAGTGGATAGATAGATAGATAGATGGATAGACAGACAGACAGAAAGACAGACAGACAGACAGATAGACAGATAGATAGATAGATAGATAGATAGATAGATAGATAGATAGGTAGATAGATAGATAGATAGATAGACAGACAGACAGATAGATAGATAGATAGATAGATATATAGACAGACAGACAGATAGATAGATAGATAGATAGATAGATAGATAGATAGACAGATAGATAGATAGATAGATAGATAGATAGACAGATAGATAGATAGATAGATAGATAGATAGATAGATAGACAGATAGATAGATAGATAGATAGATAGATAGATAGA